TTGATTCGGTTCTCGGTTCTAGACCAAGAACCGAAAAATCGAATAAGAACCGATTTTTTTTTATATTGGATAAATCAATATCTTTTATTTTTTTTAAACAAATCAATAATTTTTTTCTTATTAAATCTTATTAGGGCCCTGTTTGAGAGGATTTAAATTTTTCTACAATAAATCATTTCTCATTTTCAACCACACATTCTTCAATAAAATAATATTTTTCATCACATCAATAATTTTTTTCTTCTTTTTCAACCACACATTTCCCATCATATCACTATTCAAAATAAATTTTTCCCCCAAAAATCTCTCCCAAACAAGCTCATAGTCTAATAATCTACAAGAAGCCAGGATTTATGGAACTAAATATAAATTTATTTTTTTCAGCATTATTTTGGTTTATTTATCACGTGCATCTTAGTGATGGCAAAAAAATCCGTCCCGACTGGTTGGCGGGGCGTTACGGGGATCGCTGAATCGAGATGCCCCGTCCCAAACCCGCCCCGTGAAGAATTTAAAAAAAAAATTGTTTTGGATATTGTTTGTTTCGAGTGGTTGCTTTGGATATTGATGTAGTTAGTTTGAAAATTACTTGCTTTAGATTTTAAAATTTTGAATTTTTATTTTAATTGGAAATTTTTTTTAAAAAAGCGCAGGAAACGGGGTAGGCCACCGCCTCACCCCGCCCCGTCTAAGGCGGGACGGGGAGGGGCGCCGTTGCCATCTCTAGTGCATCTTGTTATTTGGAACATATTTTATTTGGATATATTTCCAACATGTTTTATTTATTATTGGTAGAACCAAAATTTTCACGTTGGGTTATTTGATATGTTCATTTAATTATCGAATGAAATGTTTAATAAGGATTTAAACTTTAAAAATTTGGGTCGTTACAATTTGGTATCAGAGCTCATGTTTAAATTTTATGTAGACTTATTGGGACTTTAAAGATAATAATAATAATAATAATAACAACCATGAATAGTGATACTTGACTTGAGTGGTTTACCTGTCTTTTACTTTTTGCAGTCCTTTTTTTCTAGTACAACTGGTGGCATTGGAAACATCAATTTCACTGCTATCTTGACCTTAATATTTGATAAATATGTCGCTAGTTTTTAAGCATTGAAACCGGATATACTTTTTTCTTTTCAAATGAAACCCACTTTTTTCCAACTAGATGTCAAGGAAAAGAAAAAAAATGGTGTGACCCGTGCTGGATGTCCAAGAAAAGGACAAAAAAATGGTGTGACGAGTGTCAGTGTTCACTTGTACAGTGACGACGTGTCACTATTTATGGGTGAACAATGAAGAAAAAAAATATATTTGGGAACGTAATTGTTCATGTCATGAACAGTGACACGTTCACATGAAAAAAAAATGTGAATAGTGCATGTCACTGTTCACCGTGAACAGTCACAGGGAAGGAAAAAAAGAATTTAAATGAAAATGACAATGTTATATTAATATTGAGCTTTCATGTTTTTAATGATATGTTAATAATTGTTTATTTTTTAATTGTTTCCTTGCGTAACGTATTTTAAAAATTAATATTTTTCTTAAGATATATGAATTTAAGGATGAAGTAAATTTAAAGTTCATAAATATGTAAGAATGTGAAAGATCTTTGGCACTCAACGACCACTTATCGGCCACCCTTCGACGACTCTAAGGTATGTAAAGGGGTAAGAAAAGGAATTTATTCAAACATTTTGTATAATTTACATCTTTTAAATTGCCTACTTTTAAATTTTAAGACATGAATGTTTTTCCTCGCTAAATTTATAATATATTATGAGAATATGGGTATAACATGTTAGACTTGGTACGGGTATGTGATGAGTGACTTAATATTAATTTTTTAGGAAATGACACTACCTACCCACACGAATTTGATGCGGGATCTATTGTGAGTAGTACAAGAGTTTATTAGGCATAATAAGGCACCTCAACCACAAAATGTACTGCCATAGCAAAAATATACCTCCGTTTGTCCATGAAGCTGTCTTAGTGGTTGAGCAGTTTCGNGAGCAGTTTCGTAGGTACAAGCCTCTTACTTTTGAAGGAGGTTTTGACCCATTGGTTGTTGAGGGGTAGATTAGAGGTCTGGAATGCATCTTTCAATGCATTGCCTGTACGGATGCGCGGAAGGTACTATGCGTAGAGTTTATGTTTGTTGGAGCAGCCAGTCACTGATGGGAGTCTGTCTTAAGCACTAAGACCGAAGAGCAGCAGCGCAACCTGACTTGGGAGCAGTTTAAGGATGAAGTGATGGCAATGTATTTCCCACAGGCTTTGAGAGATTTCAAGGAACTAGAGTTTTTGCAGCTTAGACAAGGGAAAATGTGGGTTACTAATTACGAGATATAGTTTGACCAGCTCATAAGATATGCTCCACACTTGGTAGATACAGAAGTTAAGAAGATCAGGATGTTAGGAAATGGACTACTCCTAGAGATCAACACGATCATCTTGTCTCATTATTTCACTTCATATAGTGAAATGTTGGAGAGGACCCATGCTATTATTGACATATGGTTGATTTCATCCTTATCATAACAAACAAGATTAATATTATTTCTAACAATGGATTTTGAGTTATGATAGTTCAATGTTAAAATCAATCAAGTATTGCCAAAATCAACATATCATAAATCGGACTCGAAATGAATAGTAAACTGAAAGTTAAGCACTCAAATCAAATCATTCGCGACGAGAGTTTAAAAGATCAAA